GCCCCCCCGCCAGAAGCATGTCTGCACCTCCGTTTGTCAGAGGCTGTCCGTGAGCGACTGGATGCTCGCCATCAAGGTCCAGTGGAAGTTCTTCAAGAGGAAAAGAGCCCGCACCGCCGCTTCCGCATCCAGCCTTCGCCGCGCTCAGTGCCCGTTTTACCAATAAACTGAGCGACCCCACAGCTGTGTGCGCCTGCTGGGTGGGGGTGGGGGGGGCTGGCACGGGTCCTGTGCTGCCCAGGGAGGCGGTGGGGCCCCGCCCAGGAGTCCGGCTCCCAAGTCCAGCTGGTCTGGCTTGCCGTGAGGGGGCTTTGCAATTCCGCCTGAGATCTGCAAGCGTGGGGGGGGGGCCTGGATGTTTTGGGGTCTCTGAGAACCGATGAGAGCTGAGGGCCCCTTCCCCACGAGTGATTCTCTCACACCTCCGTTCCTCAGTTCCTCACCCACTTTCCTGGGGTTCCCTCCCCAGCCGGTCATTTGCAGCAGCACCGTGTCCACCCTGCTCCTCAGCTGGGCCCGGCACACCCGGGAATGCCACCCCCAGAAACCCTGGTCAAGCCTGACCTTGGTCAGCAAGAGCAGGATGGCAGGGGGCTCTGCTCAGCCAGGCTGCCCGTGGGGGCTGCACCAGGAGCTGAGGGGGGGCAAGCAGACCCCAACCTGCTCCCAGGGCAGACTCCAGGCCAAGAGCAAGCTCCCGTAGTGTGTGAGGTCCTGCAACAAACGACAGCTGGCTGTTTAAAGCGACAGCAAGGGGCTCTCACAGTCCAAAATCAGAATCACTGGGACAAAACCAGGGTGCTGGCAGGGCCCTCCTGGCCTTGGCCCTGGGCTGTGGCTGGAGCTCCATCTCTGCCTCTGCGCCACGTCTCCCTCTGCCTCCCTCTTACAAGGACACTTGTAACTGCATCTAAGACCCACCTGGGTCACCCAGGATAATCTCGCCCCAAGACCCTTAATCTAGGAACTTCTCAAAACCCCTTCTTGCCACGCAGGTCTCAGGGATGGGGCCTGGAATGTCAGGGGGTGCATCCAGCCCACAACCCCCCCGGGGGTGCTGCCAGCCAGGAGGGGTGGGGGCACGTGGCTCAGAGAGGCCTGTGGAGGGGCTGCTGGTGTCTCCCACCAGCCCCGTGGAGGGGGCGAGCCCTTGAAGCTACGTGTGGGGAGTAGGACCAGGAAGACCCGGGAGCAGAGTGCCCTTTGGATTCACTTCCGGGGGTGGGGTCATGCTGGCGGCTGACCCACAGAGACCTCCCAGGAGGGCGGCGAGTCAGCAAATACAGACACAAGACACGCAGGCCCAGTGGGGTTTGGGGTCAGTGGGATAATCTTCAATATAAATCTCCCACACAATATTTACACTGACAGAGTATTTGCTGTTTCCCTGAAATTGAGACCGGTCTGGTGGGACCCTGCCCCAGGAAGTTGTCTTACACACGTGGCCCAGTTAGAATTGGGGTCAAATAAGAGAAACTTGCCAGCCAGAGACAGGATCTTGTGTGGCCCCTGAGGGGTCCTCAACCTCTGGTCCTGGTCACTGCTCCCTTCTGGGGACCCTGGTCACCCAGACGCTGAGGGTGGGACAATGTGAGCTGCCCACACAGCAGAGGCCTGGGCTGGGGGCCCACTGCTGGCCCTCCAGGTGGGTGCGTGAGGGCGGGGCACAGGTCCTGCCAGGCTCGTGGATCCCAAGAGCAGGTGAGGACAGAGGCAGAGCACGTTCCCATTCCCATCTGAGTCCTGGCGGTGGAGGGCAGGCCTTCCGGGAAGGGTCTCTATTCCTTGGGCACCACTTTTGGGGTGGGTTGATGAAGGCAGGTCTGAGAAGCCCCAAGCCCACAAGTCTGAAGCCTGGCCTCGCCCCTGCCTTGCTGCACCCTGGGTGCCTGGCTCGGGCTGGCCCCACGGGGTGGGGAAGGGTTGGGGAAGGACAGCGACAGAGGAGGCTGAAATCTGGGAGCACGGCCTGGTGGGGCATGCAATAGCTCCAGGTGTTCACAAGGGGGCAGCACGCGCAGGCACCTCTCCTGGGATTTTCCCACTGACCTCTGGGAGGGGGCTCCCCTGCCTCCAGCACTGCAAACTGGGTCCCATTTCCGGCTGTTCCTGGAGCAGCCCCCATTCAGTGGGTCTTGGCCGCACCTGGGGCCTGTGCTACAGAGTCAGAGTGAGATGCGCCCGCCTGTCAGGAGGGAGGCTGTGGGGGTGCGGGCAGAGTCCCGAGGTTACACTCTGGGCTGTGCGTCTCAGACCCTCACAGTGTCAAATGTCGCTGAGATTGCATCTATGGATGCCGAGCAGACTGGAAATGAAAACAAGAGATTTAAAACAAGAATGCAGTGTGGCCCGGCTGGCGTGGCTCCGTGGTTGAGCACTGACCTATGTACCAGGTCATGGTTTGATTCCCAGTCAGGGCACAGGCCTGAGTTGTGGGCTCAATCCCCTGTGTGGGGTGTGCAGGAGGCAGCCAATCAATGATTCTCTCTCATCATTGATGTTTTGATCTCTCCCTTTCCCTTCCTCTCTGAAATCAATAAAAACATACTAAAAAATAAAGAGCCAAATCTTAAACAAAAAAATGCAGTGTGGTGATTGCAGGGGCGGGGTGGGGGGAGCGGAGGCAGAAGAGGGTATAGGGGATAAATGCTGATGGGAAAAATAAAATAAAGAGAAAAAACAAAATGACCCATAATCTCACTACAAAGGAAAAATAATAAAACAAGAATGCCTGGCACACACAGCGCCATGACGCACTGCTGGGGACGCCACTGTGCAGGGCAGAAAGGAGGGAAGAGAAGTAGTCCGGTGTGATTGCAAAAACAGTTCTGACCTTGAGAGCCTCTGGAAGGTTCTGGGGACCTGGGGCACTGATCTTGGCAGGAGTGCCTGAGTCCTGCCCCCCCCCCCCCCCCCCCCCCCCCCCGCCGAGGACAGGGCAGGTGGCACCTGGCCGGCGTTGAAAGGGTTGGATGTTGGATGACTGCTGTGGTCAGGTGCTCTTAGGCACAGCGCTGTCCAGCTGAGGCCCTCGGGCAGGGCTGAGACGCAGGGACAAACTTAGGTCTAAGAGCTGGGGGCTCTTTCCCTCCACAGGTGGGCAGTGGAGCTGGGTAGGTAGGGGTGACCTCAACTTGGGGAGCCCCAGGGGCAGCTGGATAGGACAGTGCGTGGGTGAGGGGGACACTAGCCTGGACAGTGTGCCCTGGCAGCAGCGGGGGGGCGGGGGTAGAGCCTCAGGGCTGGGGTTGCTAGGAGGACGCAGGGGCCCAGAGAGGTGCATGCAGGGCTGGTGCTGAGGCCTGAAGCCAGCCTAGGCAGGCGCTCCCGCCCTCCACTGGGCTGGCGGGCGGTTTAGAGCAGGGCCGCCAGGACCCCCAGTGGTTTCCATCTGCACTGTGGGAGCCTCTGAAAAATTCATGAGCTGCTGAGGCTTCGGGGTCCGGCTGAGCTGGCCGAATCTGATCTGCCTCCTGCCCTTGTCTGCCAGGGCACCCTGCCCTTCCCCAGGCTACAGGCTGGCCCTGGTGGTGACAGTCCAGAGTCCTAACAGTGGTTTCAGACTGGCAACTGTGGGCTTGTCTCTTGCTGGGGGCCCTGGTGTGTCTTTGAGGGGCCCGTGGGTATGCTGCGTGACATGAGTGCATCTGGTATGTGAGCCCAGCAGGCCACATGCTCCTGTGTGCGTGTGGCCTGGGTGTGGGGTGTGCAGTGGAGTGTCCCAGAGCCCTCAGGAGCTGAGCCAGTGAGCGTGTGCATGTGTGTGTGTTCATGGGTGTGCATGTGTGTATGCACATGGGTTTAGATCCATGTGTGTGCACACTACAGAGAGAGCATGTGTGCATGTGTGTGTGTGCATGTGAGCACGTGTTTTGATTCTACCTGCTCTGCTGGCTGGCAGCCTGAAGTCTGGGCTGAGCCGCTGGGCGGCGCTGGGCAGCTGCCCCTGTCCTGCAGCTGTGAGGGAGTGGGGGAGGCTGGCAGGCAGCTGGGCTGTCTGGGTGTGAGCGGGAGGAAGGGAGGAAGGCAGGAGAGTGTCTGGTCGGAGGTGCTGGGAGCTGGCTCCTCCCCAGGCTCCACTCGGAACTCCTGGTGTCTCACCGTGGGGTCGGCTGGGGTTAGGGTTAGGGGAGGTGGGAGCCAGGGGAGCCGGGAAGCCCATGGAGGCTGTATGAGGCAGGAACCCCCAGGTGCGGTAGCTGCCAGAATGGAGGTCGGATCAGCTCAGCACGCCAGGG